CTACATTGACCAAAATGACCTTAGATAGGAGAAGTGCTTTGATAACCCTCCCCCACATTAAATTATGAACTATGGCTAAACTCATAACTTGCAAGCATATAATTTAGACTCCAACCATCCATCTTTATTGTTAATAAAAAATATTAATTACATCAATATAACACAGTAGACTGTGTGGTGGTAGATGTGGCATATATTAGACAACCACTAGACCTTAAGAACTTCGCTTGAGGTCATAAGTTCTATTCTCCTCTTTCAAATTCGCTTGTATAGAAACAATAAAAATAATAACTTTTTTTTATTAAGCATTGTTAAAACGAAAATACTTGGTTACTTCCGTTTTCATTTATCCATTAATCACAATTTGACACAAGTGAAAAAAAAATTAATTTAATTGTTTGGGTCTCATCAAGGCTTTTCTTTATTATTTACTATCATTTTCTCCATGCATTATGTTGTTATACTTAGTGATTCTTCTGGATAAGCACACGGAAGCATAAGCTTGGTAGATTTATTTCTTATTTTTGCAACTCTCTCTCTCTCTCTCTCTCTCTCTCTCCTTTTGTCACAAGAGAGAAATGCCATTGGATTAGACCGAAAATTCTACCATGCGCAAGTCTAGGGAAATGCCGCAATTGGAACAATATAAAACAACCATTTTTACACTTTTACACTTGTCCACATGTCTAGGGAAAAATCAATATGGATCAGACACCTTTTTCACTTGTCCACATGTCTAGGGAAATGCCGCAATTTTTTTTTGGTGAATTAAGGGAAACCCCCAGAAATGCCGCAATTGGAACAAAATAAAACAACCATTTTTTCAATAGTGGATCTCTGTATTTTTCATTGGAAAAAGCAAAATTATAAATTAAAACAAGGCCAAACCAAAATGTTGGCATGCGTTTCTCCATTAGTTCCTTCTGCTTCAGAACAGTCTCAAGACTTGATGAGCAAGTTAATTTCAGTCAGCAACTGAGGCCCTCATGAGCAGAATACTAGTAAAAAAAAACCAATACAAAAATGTCTGGCTCTGAGACACCTAGGAAATAGCTCTGGAAACATAGAAAACTTTGAGGTCTGCCCCAACAAAATTGACCTGAAATTAAAGAAAATTGAGAGGGGATCAAAATTCAAGGAAAATTAAAAATGGTGTCCAAGATCACAACTGCAGCTTCAAAATGGCATGCCCAATTAGTACTAATTTTGCTGGGATCAATGAGTAGTTGTAAATTGGGTTTCACTCGTAATTCCCATTTCCATATTGATTGAGACTTTCTTGCAAACTTTGGAGAGCCACTTGGATAGCATGTACTTGGCTTTTCTCCAAGGAGGAACACGGAGGCCATTCTCCTTGAAAGATTGTTTTGCAGCTGGGCAAAGCAGAGATATAATTTTGTCAAGCTTTTCTTCTGTCCCAACAAAGATGGTGGGTAGAGTGTCTTTGAGCTGCTCGTAGTTTTGTGTAGGTCTTGCCAGTTCAAATTGAGACCTGAAATCCATGTCCACCATAAGCCTTGTCACTTTGACACTGTCCGTCATCATTACATCAACATATTCATAATAACCTGTAATTTGACAAACTTAAACAAAACAAAGAAAATTAACCCATCAAAACCAGAAATGGGTTTTTAAGAACAAATGAAATTTTCAGAGATCGAGGGAGAGAGAGAGACAGAGTACTTTCAAAGAGCCTAAAAGAAGAAACCCATGAAGTTTTGCAAAGGCAGGCCTCATAACCATCCTTTTTTAGTTTCATCACAACCCATTTGTTTTTCAGATTGTTGGGTTCCATCAAAGTCTCAGTTGGTTCCTTACTATGTTAGGATTTTAGTTACTTACCTATTTGTCTAGTCCAATTATAATTAAGATTTATTTCATATTGTAATTTAGATTTATTTTCTATTGTAATTTAGATATATTTCCTATTTTATTTAGGGTTAACACCTCTTTGTACTTGTATAAATACCTCCATATTGGAGAAGAATAATAATATGAGCGTATCTTAGCATAACTGAATATTTGCCCTACTTTATTTGACATGGTATAAGAGCCTAGGTTTTCTTGTGACCTGTGTTTGCGTTCTCCTTACAATTTAAGTGCTCTCCTCCCCTCCTCTTTAAGGGGGGGAGGGAGGGGGAGTGAAAACGATATGTTTATTGACGTATCCCCATTAGCTTGACATATTCCCATGAAGATGTTGCTTATTTCTTGACTCCGACGACCTCTTCTCTTCAGGGGGAGAGGAGAAGTGAAGAGAAGTTGTCTGTGTGAATTAGCTAAAGTTGATATGGAAGAACTATTGTTGTTGCTGTTGTCATTGCCGTTATCTCTATTACTGTCGTTGATGTTACCGTTGCCGCTATTGTTGCCGTTGATGTTGCCATTGTTATGTCCATTGTCGATGATGTCCTATGGTCATTGCCGATGATGTTACTGTGTTTTGATCTGTCTCTACCCTAATCCTAGACACTACCTATTTCTGTTGCACTATACATCTAGCTTATCATCCTAGTCTGCCGCCGCCGCCGTCTACCTTGCTATTGTCACCGCTGCTCATCTATGCCGCTGCAATTTAACCACCTATCTGCCATGGCTAATTCTGCTGCATCTCAGTGTTAGTCAGTGCATGTTTCTCAAGTACCATTGATCATATGGCTCCATCGACCCCTTCTCTTCAAGGGTAGAGGGGGAGTGAGGAGAAGTTGTCTCTGCTGTTGCTGGTGTCAATGCCTTGTATTGTTGTTGATGATGCCTGTTATGTCTCTGCCTTGTTGCTCTTATTGGTGCCAGTATTGTTGCTCCTGCCTGTTATGGTGCCAGTATTGTTGCTCATGCCTTTGTTGGTGTGTTTCTGCTGTGGTCATGCCCGTTGACCTTGCCTTTGCTATTGACTTTCTTTGCCTTGCCTTACCCTATTTGTTAGGGTTTGGCTTTGCCTTGCCATGCATTGCCTTACCCTATTTTTAGGGTAAGGCTTTACCTTTTTCATGTCTTACCCTATTTTTAGGGTTTTGTTGCCCTGTCTGGGCTTTCTTTGCCATGCCTTGCCCCCTTGTCTTTGCTTGGCCTTTATTTGCCTTACCTTGCCTTACCCTATTTTTAGGGTTTGGTTGCCTTTGCTTTTGCCGTGTTCACAGAGTTTCTGTGTTCTGCTATCTGCCTTATCTTCTGCCATGCTCACAGGGCTTCTGTGTTTTGCCTTATCTGCTACCGTGCTCACAGGGTTTGTGTGTTCTGCTATGTGCCCTATTGTTTAGGGTTTGCTCTTGTGTTTCCGCTGCGAACTTTGCTTTAGTTTGTCACTTGTTTCACTCGTGGTTGACAAAAAGACATTCTCTACAATTGGTGCTTCTCAAGTATGGTGTTCTATGACTCACTTGTCAAGTTGGGCATGCGAAATATCTTTGCCCAACTTGAGGGGGAGTGTTGGCGAGTCCTTACTTAATTAGGATTTTGGTTCCTTATTATGTTAGGATTTTGGTTACTTCCCCATTTATCTAGTCCTGTTATAATTGAGATTTATTTCCTATTTTATTTAGGGTTAACATATCTTTGTACTTGTATAAATACCTTCATATTGGAGAAGAATAATAATATGAGCGTATCTTAGCATAACTGAATAGTTGCCCTACTTTGTTTGACACCATCAAAGTCTCAGTGTCCCTCAAATACATCAACACTTTCTGAAGAATCTCAATCTCACAATCTGTTGCCCTCCATATTATCTCCTTTCAAAAATAAAATAAAAAAACCAGCATAAAATTAATTACCCAAAAAAAGAAGGAGAAATGTGCATATATAGGAGTAAAAGGAAGCTTTAGAAAAACAGAAGAGACCTGTAAAGTGAGATATTTGGATTGATGAGGAGGAGAGAGGGGCAGTGAAGATGATAATGAGTTGGGTGGTGGTGGAGCTGATGAGTCCAATTCATAGAAATCTCTCACCATTTGCGTAAGTTCTTCTTCTGTTAAGCCGCCCATGATTTTCCTCTGTAAAATTTAATCTTGGCTTCCTTGTAGGCTAAGGAGAATAGTTGTTTTTACGAGCAAGTTTCAGAATTATGAGGTAACTTCATTTTTGTTTCCTTTGCCTTGTTTGGTATTGCCTAGGAGCTTGACTTTTAGCCATTGACATAGTGTTGTCATCAAGAAAGTTATCACATTTTTCTTGAATTAGTTTTTATGTGAACCCAATGTTTGTTTTACATTACAAATTGCATCGCAATTATGTAAGTTATAACGTAAGCATTGATGCGTTGTTGCATAAGCTATTTGGGAATAGAAATATTATAACTCAAAAAGATAAGACATAAATAATTAACTGATAAACAGATTCAACTAAATACCTGAGCATACATAAGAATTTCCGAAATTACAAAATATTCAATTTCCGAAATTGCCCAAAATCATACAACCGCAAACTAAAAAAATGGAAAAAAGAAGAGAATAAACACGTATCAACTAGAGACCTCAAGTCACAATATAGAGGAAAGGCAACACCTATCGATTAGAAACATCGAAGTATGTATGACCTTCAATTTCATGGATTTGTGTCAATTTTTAGGTAAATTTGAAGTTTATGGTTTGTTTCCTTGAGAAGCAACACCTATAGCGATGACGATATAGCTTACACGACACTATTTGACACTTCCGTGAATATAATCTGCTATGTCGGACAAAAATTTCCACGAAGCTAAGAAGCTCGCGACAAATCTGCTATTTAAAACACTCTTACCCAGCATTTTAATGCTCTTTTATTTCCAATTTCATACTTATTTGAAATTACAACGAACTACACAACACTTTCTTTTGTTAATACAATTGATAGTTTAAACAACTTTAAATTAATCTAATTTACGAAAATAGGGACTCAAACTAAGATGCAAGAAGGCGGACTTACTAGCCTAACTCATACCTGCAAATGACACAATACTTTGAACACATCTTCTATACAAGCTTTCAACTTTGTTCTATACAGAAATAGCATATACCTGAAAACAAAGAAAAAACTTCTTTTTTTTTCAACATTATCTTAGGGAGCTCATTTTTCTCCCAATTTAGCACCAGTTTCAGAATAATTGTTTGTATAAGACTAGCAGAGATGATACAGAGGAATGTGTTACATTACAAAATACAGATTGGTGAAAAAATTAGTGGTACGGTTTGGTACACAACATCTCTAGATGGCCTGATGAAGTTGAATGGAAGTTTTCCTAATGCCCAGCAGAATCTTCTTAAGACTTCATGAGAATCTATAAAATGATTTCCCACAAATGAAGAATGAGATATTAAGGCAGCCGGATGCAGCTTTCACACAGTGAGAAACTTGGACGTATCAAATACTAACAAGTTACAACAGTTCAGGATTGAGATCTCTCCCGCATTTTGGCTCTGGCGAAAAATACTCCAGCCACAAGACCTACCAAATTGCAATTTTTCATGGTTAATGCTACAAAACTCTACCGCTTTTGCAAAGTTATAAAGTAGTACATCACATTCTGAAGCCAGTCTAGTTGAGAGAACTTACCAAAGAAAATGCTAGCGGAGTTCTCTAAACTGGTCGGGACTTTGAAAAGTAGGATACCGGCAACAGATAGAGGGATCTTATTCAGCGACCCCACAAGGCTGCAGACATTGAGCAGTCATTAGAGATGTCTAACACCTCCTTATTTGAAATAAGCATAGCAATTTAATCATATGCTAAACCGACATTATAACACAAAACTAACACAATACAATTTTCACATACAAATATAAATATGGGGTTGTTTTAAATTGGTTTCCAAGTTTTATTACATAACTGGCCATTCCTAGTGTATATTTTCCAGCTTTGGGAAGTGTCAGGCTACATCAACCACAACTGTAAGATATCAAGCTGGCCAGATTATGCTATGTAACAAAAGAAATCAAAGCTGATGATCCATTCAGCCTGGAAAAAGGGATTTTAAACTTATTGCACCAGGCTTCAAAAGTTTCATTAAAAAAAAAATTCACTTATAAATTTGAAAGCTAAGAATAACGTAACAAGGGTTTAAGTTCAGTAATCAAAGTCTCATTTAAACCAGGTGGGAACCCTACAAATATCATACTATGCATCAGCTACATTCAGCTTACCTGTATGTGGTGGCACCCGTTTGATGAAGAAACCACATAGACGTGAAGCTGATTGCAAGACCTAAAAATCCACTTAGCGTCATTACCATCCAGAAGGTTGGTAACCTCAAAAGTGGACTGCCATTTTAATTCAACCTTCATTAGATTCAATAGGATAAAAGAAAACAAAAATTTATAAGAAAAACAAATGTAAAAACTTTTGTTCTTCCTGTTTTTCTGTTGACAAGTAGACATCCCACATGGTAATTCTAGACCTCAGTCATAGCGAAATGGGCTTGCATACGCATTATTAGCTAGTCATTGCAGTTTCAGGCAGAAAACAATAACAAAATAAAACCAACGATGACAAAACAAACTTTGGAGTACTTCATGCATATTTTTAAATTACTATACCATATGTTAGAGACAGTGTAGTCCATCTGAAATATTTCACACTTAGATAAATATTTCAGGAGGGGAACAGGCAGGAAAGGAAGAATACAGAATAGTAGGAACCTAATCGAACGACATCGTAAAGTGGTAGTTGCAAGCTTTCTGTCCACACCTATCATATAGATTCTAATTCAATCTTCAATATGACAAATTCTAAAGAAGATGTGTGTGTGTGTGTGTGTGTGTGTCTATGCAAGTTATTCCTCTTTCACTAGCTGATTTGCACTTTCCTTTGTATTGTAGGAGTTTCCATACTTCTATATATCTCCAAAAACATCCAAAGTTTTAACTACATTGACCATAAGGAGTTTTAACTACATTGACCAAAATGACCTTAGATAGGAGAAGGGCTTTGATAACCCTCCCACACATTAAATTATGAACTATGGCTAAACTCATAACTCGCAAGCATATAATTTAGACTACAACCATCCATCTTTATTGTTAATAAAAAAAAATTAATTACATCAATATAACACAGTAGACTGCGTGGCGGTAGATGTGGCATATATTAGACAACCACTAGACCTTAAGAACTTTAGTTGCTAGGGATTAGGCCAACGACATACATCAAGCTAACACCCTCCCTCACATGTAGCCGCATCCTGCATGGGGAGAGGCAACAGCATGCAGAAAGAGAGGTAGAGAGAAACATATACGTGTAGCCCTACCCCACACCTTGCAAAGCAACAAAGAAGTGGGGAAATAATATCAAAGCAGAACAACAGAATACTCACGTTGTAAAGAGATAATCAACCTCCCTGAAAACAAAAATAAGCACAATCCCCAAAGGCAGAGAAAGAGTGTTATTTAGCAAGACCATTGAAAACTCATTCAGCTTTCCAGATTTTGTGACAAGCTTTGCTGTATCCATGACCCTACGTAGAGTCAGCTGCCAAAACATTAAAAAAAATAAAAAAATAAGCTACATTCAACAATTAAACAATACAAAACAAGTTAGAAGAAAGTCAGTACACAGACCAATAAATTACAAGAAAGCACTCAAAATTTTAGAAACAAGAACAATGTTCAATTCTGACATCTTGTTGATTTTGCACTATAAAAGTAATAATCTTGTCAACTCAATATTAGAAGGGTACAGGACCTCTGATATGCAGGAAGGAAACTGAATAGATTTAGATGGTGTTGGATCAAATCAGAATGCCGGTAAAAGGATATTGTTATTCCACATGAGAAACATGATTTTTATTGCCTATAATTAGTTTTGGCATGCCTCTAATAATTAGTAATGGCCACTATTAACACTCAAAGACTTCAATTTTTCATAAATATGAAAAGAATTCTCATCAAGGTAGATCTAAAAACAAATTATCACGTAGCTTCCTAATTCATATTCTTATTGCTAACAACTTCTTCTGAGGGGAGAGATATCAAGAACCACATAACAGATAAAGGAATCTGTAATGTGGTAGTTATGTAATATACTTTATATGAAGTTCTGTCATGAAACAATAAACTAAAATAAAATTTTGCCATATATACAAGCTTATATGCAAAAGGGGGAAAATTAAAGACTAATGTGATTCTAAAGTGTACATAACAGATTGAAACTTCATGTTATTTACTCACAGAATATGATGCAGTCAAGAAACAGTTAATGATTTGCCATGCATAGCCGACGGCATGGAAAGATAAATCAGTCACGCCTCCAGAAATTGCTGAAATTATCTGCACAGGTTAGATTTAAAACCATGTCAAACCATATAATTATCATATGAGAACTCATTAATATATTCTTATGATACCCAAAAACATCTTCAATTAAATTCATATTGAGATGCAGCGCCTGCTGGCATGAATAGCATTAGGTTGCCATCAACGAAAATATTGCTACGAATAATGAACATGCATGCATACATGTACGCAAGTGTACCCACACAGCATCTGCTTACCCCGCAGGACATCAACCCCCCACAATTAGAGAACTATGATAAAGCATCAAACATAGAAGTGTTGCCGGCAGACTCCTGGAAGTTAATATTTTCATCTATTCAACAAAGCTTTTGAACTAGTTGATTTGGCTTGATGCTATCATCAAAACCAGAATTTAAACAATTAACTACACCCCACACATGCAGTCTGATTTGGTCTTCAATTCATATATTCATCGCCAAGCTCCAAACCAAAGAAAAAGAAAAAGAAATTTATAAACATATGATTAAAAAAAATTAATTTTGAAAAAATGGTATTTTTTTAAAGAAAAAAAAAATGTATTTATATACTCACACATCATGGTATTCTTGACATCAATATGATGAATTAAGATGTGAATCAAACTTTCAAAAAGGAAAAATTCTGAGACAAATAAAATAGAAAATAGAAAATAGAAAGGCAAGGCAAGACTAGAGAAGAACACTCAGTAAAGCATCAAGCCAGCAATTGCAAGATGAAAACTTAAGTTAATTTTGTTATTTTAAATCCCAATTGAAACATTTATCAACATCTGAATCTCAATTCACATTCTGACTTATCAAACATACCATTAGAAACAGAGCAGCCCATACTCTGTTGTCATGGTGCTTTTGGAATAGATACATTTCACCAATTGCAGTTATCACATTGGTAACATTCTTTAGGACCGTGACCATTGCTACATTGATGTACTTTAAGCTGCAAACATGAAATTAAGTAAAAATAAATAAAAGTAAGAGATAAATACTGTGCAGAAAGAGAAATTTACACCTGCAAGAGCCACAAACCCAGGAATACTTTCATGATCGGTATTTTTCTTATCCAGATCATACAAGATTTAATGCAACAAGAATGAGAGTATAAATATGGCGTGACAAATGTAGACCTGCTACATGCAAAAGAAAAGAACGTGGGTCAACATCTCATATTAGGCTAATGTCATTGCATGGACAATAAGATACACCAATGCTGAACGCTCACATCAGCAAATCTGAGGTGCTTTTGATACATACTCAACGGTACGTAATACGCATTACATGTATTTCAAGAATTTTAATATTTTTCAAAACACTAGTGAGGTATCATGCATGTTTTTGGCAGTGGCCAGGAAGTATTGTATCAGAAGACTAGGTCAAGTGTTGCTTATAAAGGATCAAGACGAAATTTGCATATCAACAAGATGGACGCTGGCATTAAATGTAATATTTGATATTAACTCTCATAGTCCAACAAATTAAAGACTACCCCACTCCATTAAGCACCAAGATGAACTTAAATAGGAAAAACTCTATCTACTTCATACCTAAACATGCTTGTAATGAGCATCCCAACGAATATAACATTCACAGGCAACCAGACCTTAACCAATCTCCATGTTAGCGGCTCGGTTGATATTATGCCCAGAAAACTCAACACAGAAACGATTATAACCGAGACTAGGTTCTGCATCCATACAAGTACCATGAGATAGTTAGATCTTGACAAGTATTCTGAAATTGTTTGATTAAATAGAATTGAGTAAAAAAAAAAACCCCTTTTGATGTCATCTGGAGGAAAACATATACAAACTCTACTTGAAATAAACAAAATCAATAATGTAATTACCTGGTACAGCATCAGAGAAATTCCAGCATCAAAGTTGTAGCTCGAAAGCACGAATTTGTTAACTAATATCATGCTGCAGGACGATATGCAATATGCAAGACCAGCCAACAAGGCCTGATTCTGTGATTTAACCACCTTATTACCTCGTGTTGCTTTATCTCCATCTTTTAACAATTTTCCGCCTTCCAAGTCAGTTTCATTCTTTTCAAACTGATTCATTGGAAATAAAAACCTATATGAAAATTTAACAAGATAATTACAACTCTTTTCTACACTCGTTAGATAAGAGACAAGGAGGAGTAGAGACAGACACGCAAACACAGACATACAGATAGGCTGAGAGAACTCATTCTGAAACATAGAGAACATATGGACTGGTTCCAAACAGATTTTACAGGTCACATAAGAGTGAAAAGTATCTTGCAGGTAAAATAAAAGTGAAAAGAAGCAAAGAGCTAAAAAAAGGACAAAGCCACAAAGAGAATTATGTCTTCTGTATATTCAACCAACAAGAAAGGTAACTATCACTAACACTTGAGTAATTAGCATAGTCAAGTGCTTGCAACTAATTTATTACTCGGAGAATTGGAAAAAGGACAAGAAAACTTATAATTCCAAGCCAACAGTCAAATACAAACAAAACGGTAAATATACATCCACAACAATGGAATTACACTTATACAAATAGCAGAATATGTTCTCAATATCAATACTGATTTTCTACACGACATATTGAGTCAAAAACTGATAGAAGAATCAACCTTCCAACGCTCTAATCTGAGGAAGTATAGCATGGAAGGCCTTCCATGTATTGGATGGTTATGTAGAGACTTCCCATACATGAGAAGTCTGCCCTTACTTTCAAAGTTTCTTTAATGAAAAGGGTTTGACTTTGGCAAGAAATCTTATACTTCTTCTTTTATAAAATTCCAACTGGAAAACAGTCCGTATCCATTTGGCTGCTTTAATGGCTCCAATGTTCTCCAAATCAAATGGTAATGCATCAAGTGTCTCTGAAATAATAGTGAGAATATTACAGCTTTCAGAAACCAAAGGTAAGTGGGCAGATTTTATACAAGAGTCTTTGATCTTTTTCACTGTTTTTGGCCACTGAAGACTTAATGGGGCTGTGAGCATTTGCTATTCTGTTTGCTCTTCCTGGGTATACATGCGAGTAATCATTACTCAAAACTACGCAGCTTAAATTCATGTAATATGCCAAAAGATGGCTGAAATATGTAGCAAAAATCCACATAGCAAGATGATGTATGAATATAATATGAAGCATTACAACCAACACTAATTGCAAATATATCACAAATACGAATGAGAAAGAAATGATTTTAAGGAGCATGTGACACCACCACACATAAGCAAACCTGCTTACTGCTTGTCTTCTCTTCTCTTTACTTTCCAATCCACAACTACTACTTGTCTTCTAACTTGTTTGTGGAATCAATCTAAAAACCTTGCCAACATAAATGATGAATCAACTTCATCGGCATATTGGTGGAAATATCGGATGCACAGATGGAAAGTTCCCAAATTTGTATAAATTTCAACTGAACTTCACCGAAATTGAACATGAAGAAGAGCTAAGAAATCCCTAAACCCAAAAATCCAAACTAAATTAGAGTTGTAAATTCCTAATTAAGCCAACTCCAACGCTCAATTTAACCAAATTAAGCAAACAATCTACCGACCCAATAGCACTACCAAACCAAAAGATTCAAACTTGACAGAGCATTCAGTACTGAGTATAAAAGAAAAAAGACGGCAGAGCTCAATCACCTCTTTCACTTTGTTCAGGCCTGCCTTTCTACAGCCAGTTAGAAGAGGCCGTGAAGGATCTCTCTACCCAACTACCATTCAACCCAGCAAGAGCTTCTGCTTCTCCTTCCGCTTACCCAGAAACCTTTGACTCTGGAGAAGCTTGGCTCTTTTTGTAAGCTTCCCTCCTTTCTCTATGTTCTAAGTCCAACGAGAAGCTCCTCTCTCTCTCGATCTGTCAGTTGCAGATGGAGTGCCAAATAGAGGGAAGGTGGTCCAACCCGAGGCGTCAATGCTGACATGAAAATGAAGCCTGGACAAAGAAAGAAAGTCAATTTTGACTCCAACATATTGAAGCGTCTTCTTTTCCATTATTTCGATTTATTTTTCTTTTTTGAGGGAAAAAAAAAAAGTGTGTGTGTGTGTGTGATGGTTTGGATTTAATTAATTCTAAATGACAATGTAGGTGTAATGTCTGCTGGTATGCTTCGTTGTTTTCAGTGGCTGCATCAGAGATTTTTATTCTTTTTGCCTCATCAGTTTTGTATTCTGTTTGAATTATTACAAATAGGGTGGGTATGCCATAATTTGGATTAGTTTCAATCAATTATTTTTAGGGAGATTCACTATTATACCCAATATAGGAGCTCAAATTATAAAAATACCCTATATGAAATGGACTTTATAAACACACCCAAAGCTCATTTACAACATAACAAAAATGTTTTTAACTCCTTTTAAATTACAAAATTGTCATTGATTTCTTAAAACAAACCCAACCCCAAAACATATAAAAAAGCCCAAAACACTCAATAGGGCATCAAAGTAATTTAATGGGAAAAAAAAAAAGTGTGTGTGTGTGTGTGATGGTTTGGATTTAATTAATTCTAAATGACAATGTAGGTGTAATGTCTGCTGGTATGCTTCGTTGTTTTCAGTGGCTGCATCAGAGATTTTTATTCTTTTTGCCTCATCAGTTTTGTATTCTGTTTGAATTATTACAAATAGGGTGGGTATGCCATAATTTGGATTAGTTTCAATCAATTATTTTTAAGCACTAAGCATCGGTTGGTTTGAACTAAAACTAGCGGATAAATCAAACCGAACTAAACTATTATGAATTGGTTCGTTCGAACTAAAATTAGCGGATAAATCAAACCGAACTAAACCATTATTGGACGGTATAGTTTGAGCTTTATTTTTAAACGTTTCTTTTAGTAATTTAACTTAGTTATACAAAGTCATGTAATTTTTCTTGTTGATTTATTTTTTAGAACTGGAATTTTGCATATTCTTCAAATCTAAGATTGAATGTGTAATCAGACCAAAAAACAAGATTGAATGTGTAATGGTAGAAGGAAGTTATGGGTGTGTGGAGGAAATATGTGACTTATCTTTACCTAAAAGCTTTCAGAAAAAAGCTGGAATGTGTTGGTAAAGATCCACTCATCATAGTGGCATTTGAAAAGTGAACCACATTGGCCATTTTGGCAGCCCTCAACTAAAATAGTAGATTCTTTATGTTCGGCAGTGAGCAAAGTCCATTTTATACAAATAGTGGATCTCCAAATCAAAAGTTTGAGATTGAAAAGAACAACTGAGCTGAGCAAGCAATGTCCATTTTAATAATAGTGGATGAGCAACTACCTTAGTTCCATTTTTGAATAGAAACTAGAAGAGTATGGGCTGTCTATGAACTGTTCCTTTCCGTTTTATTTTGATCTGGTCTGGTGTGCGTGTCCGCGTGATTTCTTTCCGTTTTTTTTTATATGATTTAGTTTGTGTGTCCTCATGGTTTCTGCTTGTAACTGTACTCTTTTCCGTAATAAAAAAAAGAAAAAGAAACTAGAAGAGTCTGTGTTTTTTGTTTGATAGGAGAAACTAGAAGAGTTGGGTGATGGGTTTTGTGTGTCCCATAATATTTGTATCCACATTGTATGTCGTTTATACAAGAATTCTATAGTGAGGGCCTTACACATGGTCCTTAGGTGAGATCCCATCTTTTAACCGTTGAATCAAATTGGTTAGTCTGATCCAACAGTTAAGAGATATGACATCACATAAGGGCCTAAGGCCCTCACTATAGAATCACACGTGGTTTATACATGTAGTGTCAATATTGTCTCTTTAAACTTTAAAAAGTACTCTAGACATTTCATGTGCATTTTGACATAGTGTCAATAGCGTATGTTTAAAAACCACATTTCATGTGCATTAAATGCTAGTTTTGCTTATGAAATAGTGATGGTGCTCATATTGTCCTGCTGTTACTGCTTGATCCTGTTATACATATACAAAAGTATAGTGCGATTTGATGACATCCCTATACATTTGGGAGATTAGGTAGCATAAGTTTTTTAGTACAATATTTGTTCAAAACCTTAGAGCATCTGGAGAGATACAAATTTGGGAGCTAAAGCCCAATTTACATCTCCATTTGCGTCTCAGGTGGAATAAATATATGTAAATGATCTTTTGCTCCATTGTGAGGCTCTAAAATTGGGTTGTTAAAACTGGTTTTTTTTAAGCAACGAGTTTGTAGCTCAAAGTGGTTATGAGCATTTAATATGTTAAACCCTACAACAGCTTGAACCCCAGCTAACAAGTTACAAAGCTAAAACCTGAAATTAATTGATCATTATAAACGCAAAGAGCCAAATGATCTCTCAATCATTGATTTCCTTTATATAAGCTGATTGCCTGCTTGTAATGAAATTCATAATGTCTGTTGCATTGCCATGCATTACAACTCTCCCATCTTCCATATAGACAGCACCATCTGCATACTCAAGTTCCTCGAGACGATGGGTGACCCATAATGCAGTAACTTCTCTAGAACTATCCACAGAATTCCTAACTGCTCTGATCACCCCAATCTGGTCATAAAAGCCAAAACTTAGTAATAGTAAAATACGATGGAACAAAGAGATATCAATTACTCTTTTCCAGAAAATGGTGATCCTGTGAAGAAACTATCTCAGAAAGATTATTGTATGGAACTCAAAATAAGATCACTGGTTAAGTAAATCAATTATAAGGTAATCAAAGCCATATAAAGGTGCCCAACTGACTCTACAAGCAGTAGCATACTGTCCAATTATGACCTTAAGCACCATCAGAAAGAATTCCCTAAATCAAGACCAGATTACAGTAAGATAACTACGTCCCATCATCTGACTTTGAGGTGGTTGCGTGTAAACTATATGCTTATGAATTCAAACTTTAATTTCGTTGGTCCATGTGGATGGAAGGATTTAAAATCTGAGAGCTTTAGAAATATGATTTTATTGTGTTGATAAACTCCACATGTAAATTTGATTATTTAAGGATAGAACGGATTTGAAATGCTCAAAAGAATGTAAAAGATCAATAGTTTTAAAGTTCAAAATTTTCATTTTAAATCCTCTATCCAAATGGGAAACGTTCTCTTGCCAGACTGTGATAATGGACCATTTATCAGGTTGGTTTTTTTCCAAAATACCGATTCACAGGTCAACATAAACATTTGTCTTGCAATGTACGTCTGGGAAGAGAATATTACTCCTATCCAAATGACCCTTAGTTCTTTAGACCAGCAAAATGCAAGAATATGCTGTGAAGGGGAAAATCATGAGTGCTTTTATAAAGTTTTGGATACAAATTGTCTTTTCCTCTTAATGCAGTTCAGCTTGTTGCAATTGTGTCCCATCAGACAACATTATAAATAAGCAGCCTTGCTGTTTCATGTCAATCATTATTTTTTTAAAAAACTACCTGATCATTTTCATCCAAAAATGTTGTAAGCTCATCCAACAACAGAACTTTACATGCTTCAGCTAAAGCACCAGCAATGGCTACTCTTTGCTTCTGGCCACCACTGAGAGTCTGAACTGACCTCTAATGCAACAAAAGGTAAACATGTGAAATTTTGCTAAAATGTTTGGTGGGTGTTCTAGGGATATTTTAACCATTTTGTTTCTACATTACCTGCATGTAGTTCAACAAGCTGACAGCATCCAAAGCTTTTGATACTCTAGATTTGACTACATCAGGGGTTAGGTTGAACTTACCAAGGCCAAATGCCACATCTGCTTCTACTGTAGGCATCACTACCTGCACATGAAAAGATTCTGGCATTATACATTCACATTGACACAAGTGGTTCCTTGATGAACTAAGTGAGACAAACATGAAAACTTGTCCTAGCATTCAACTTCACCTTAATCATTTGAGGTTTGCAATTTTTATGTCAGCATCCCAAATTCACTAGAAATAGAACTCTCGCAGGCCAATCCTCTTTTTAATAGGACTATTGATGCTTAATGTGATGGATCAAAGTAAATCTCCTCTAAACCTTGATAACCTAAGACCACACCCAACAGTCTTGAAACCTACTTGGAGAAATAATAATTGGATGATCAACTGCAAACCATCTTTGTTGGGATTAAATGCATAATACAAATATTTGATTATATTGGTCCCCATGTTTACAGAAATACAGTAAATGCATCCATCAATTTCCTATAGGTAAATCTTTCATAACCAACACTACAATGATTGTTCATTCTGCAGTCATCACAAAATCAAACTTTTACATTGCTTCTACCCTTGAAGCACCCCACAACTCGAGAACATATTTTTTTAATGATAAGCTAGTAAGTTGAGGTAAATGTTAAATGATAGAAATCATAAATCATCATAACAAACCTGATGGTCGGGATTTTGAAAAACAAAACTCCTAGGCCTCTTCACATGCACAGTTCCATCTGTTGGATTCAACAGACCAGCCAAAATCTGCAAATTTCAGAACAATGTAGAGAAAATATACTATTATCTTTTTAATTGGGTACAGCATTAAAAGAACCAACCAACAAAACCATGAAAAACAACACCAAACCAAATACCCAAAAATACCACATAACTAAAATCCTTCAAGCATGAAAGGTATGTTGTGGATTTTTACATACCTTCAAGAGGGTAGATTTCCCGCAACCATTGGGTCCAAGAAGCATCCAAAACTGCCCCGAAGGAATGTGAAGAGAGCAATCTTTAAGAATTGGTATGGTTTTACCTTGCCTCGTCCCAACCGAGAAGCTGAGGTTGCGACCTTCGATGGCAATGTTCTCGGTAAAATTGGTCCTGAATAGACAGAGTGAGACATATGCATAAGAGAAACGCAACTAAACAGAACTAACTTCAACAAGAAAACAGGTATAGGAAAGAAGAGCATAAAAGTGTTTGAAAACATGCCCAGCTGAAAAGATATTGGGTTGTGTGAACCTGACGCGAGGACTGGAATACAGTGGAGAGACAAAAGGCTCTCTTCACATGCACAGTTCCATCTGTTGGATTCAACAGACCAGCCAAAATCTGCAAATTTCAGAACAATGTAGAGAAAATATACTATTATCTTTTTAATAGGGTACAGCATTAAAAGAACCAACCAACAAAACCATGAAAAACAACATCAAACCAAATACCCAAAAATACCACACAACTAAAATCCTTCAAGCATGAAAGGTATGTTGTGGATTTTTACATACCTTCAAGAGGGTAGATTTCCCGCATCCATTGGGTCCAAGAAGCATCCAAAACTGCCCCGAAGGAATGTGAAGAGAGCAATCTTTAAGAATGGGTATGGTTTTACCTTGCCTCGTCCCAACCGAGAAGCTGAGGTTGCGACCTTCGATGGCAATGTTCTCGGTAAAATTGGTCCTGAATAGACAGAGTGAGACATATGCATAAGAGAAACGCAACCAAACAGAACTAACTTCAACAAGAAAACAGGTATAGGAAAGAAGAGCATAAAAGTGTTTGAAAACATGCCCAGCTGAAAAGATATTGGGTTGTGTGAACCTGACGCGAGGACTGGAATACAGTGGAGAGACAAAAGGCTTAGAGGGATGGATGAGATTTGAGGGATTCATCATGTTATGGATTTAGGAGGTTGGAAAAGTTGCCGGCTTCTTATTTTTCCCCTCCTACAAGCTGCATAACCAAGTAAGTAGACTAAGGGTGAAGAAAAGTATCTTGCAGTTACAATAAAAATTGAAATGTAGAAAAGAGTTCAAAGAAAAAATAGGACAAAACCAGCAAGAGAATTACGTGTCTGTATCGAAAACAAAAGGTAGCTAGCTGGGTAAATTTTATACAAGAGTATCTTTCACAGTTGGCCAATGACTAGTAAGCTACTGGGGGTATCAGCATTTGCTACACTGTTTGCTCTTCGTCGGTATATATCCATGAAAGTAATAACTACTCAAAACTACGCAGCAAAAAATCATATCATATGTAGAGCCCAAACCATATAGCTAGATGATGTATGAAAATTCAATTCAAAATAAAATATGGTAACATGAAGCATTACTCACATGTTTTGAATCTTCTGACATTTGCAAAACAATCGCCATAAAATTGATGCTTACCAAACTCTCGGGTCAAATAGATGTTGAGATGGGTAAGTAGTTCCTGAGAAGAAGTAATTTTCGATGAGATAATGATTAACAAAGCTCGGAAAATCAAAACAGACGAAACCCATTTGCCGAACCCAAAAAAAAAAAACCGAATAATAGTGAAGAAATCTTGTGTAAATAATATTAGAAACCCAAACCAAACCTGAATGCTTTCTTCGTTGATGCTCTGCCGTCTGCAGGAGGGAAATTAAACTGAAAGAACAGTTAAGAAAATGAAGTAGGAGATAATGGGAGCGCTTGAAAGTTGAAACTAAACCGACTGGTTTTTTATTTTTTATTTAGTAAAGCTACGATGTGGGATGGTTTTAGCGTCTGTGGGGGATCTTGAATCCGAAGGACAGAATTCATTGAAGCAATGGGTTAGATGTCGTTTTCAATGGGTTGGATTGATTTATGGTAGGTGTGTGTTTCATCCTACGGATACAAACGGTTTGTTGTTTGAGAGTGCTGCATAGTTTGCCGCTATGAGCAAACTTCTTTTTTCCTTTTTTTTTCCTTTCAATTTCCTGAATTATAATTTTTTGTTAGTTTACAATAATACCCATATGAACCTTGAATGTGAAATTCATATTAGTGGTTGATTTTTTTGTTTGAGGGGTTTTGTTGTCCAATTTTCTTTGGCAAAGTATGTCATTCCAACTGTTTTTGGCTTGGCTTTATGAGCCTGTTTGGAGATCGAGATTGAATTGGATTATGAAGTAGGATTGAATTGCATTCGATTAGAAGGATCCAGATCCTCTGCTCTGATTTTCTCTGCCATGATCTGCTTTACTTTTATTCTCCACACGCCACCTCATTAAAATTTAATCTAAGGGACTTAAAAGTTGACACATCATTCTTGAAGCAAAAAATTACTCCTAAAGAAAAACAATACCCTAACCCAACTAACATCAAACTTAACATCGTCACCCTTTCTTTTTCTTTTTCTTTTCTAGATTCTTATTAGCACATCTTCTTCCTGCCTTTGCCCCCAAAATCTTATCCCTACCAAGCTTTCGTTTCTCCAAAAATTCTATAATCACAATCCCTTCTCTCTCCTCTATCAAAATAAAAAAATATATATATATAAATATATCTTTCAGTAGCCATTGATTTGAGAAAATAACCATAACTCAACAGTCAATAGACCTTACAAAACAATCCCAATATCCAGGTCTTGAAACGTAATTCCTCTTTTATCCAAGAAAACGGCGAAGGAATTTTTTTTCTTCAACCACCCTCATCACATCAAAGGATATGGGGAAATAAGTTTGCTTTTTGTTCTTTTGATAGATGGGAACATGACCAATGGGATTTCCATGGATATCTATGTAAGATCCCATCTTGCCACGCCTTTAAGCAAAACGAAGAAGAATAAAGAAAACGAGGACTTCTACACACAGAAAGAAAAGAAAAGAAAAAAATCAATTTTACATAACATAGTTGAGAGATTTTTTCTTTATGGATCCACCTTGTTGATATAGGTCATTCCATTGGAGGAGCTCCTTCATATTTGCCGACTCTGAGGACACACTTGAGCATGCCTGGTGGCATTGAGTTCAATATTAACAATATTAAACAACCAAAGCTCCACCACTAACCAAACGCTGGAACAACCAGAATCGATTGTGATTATAGACAGGAAGAAATCGTGTGACGGGAAGAAGCAAGAAAAAAGAAGAAGAAAGGGATAGGATGTTAAGTTTGATTAGTTGGGTTAGGATATTGTTTTTCTTTTTTAATTAGAAGTAAATTGGGTTTTTGCTTAAAGAATGATGTGTCAACTTTAAGTCCCTTAGATTAAATTTTAATGAGGTGGCGTGTGGAGAGCAAAAGTAAAGCAGATCATGGCAGAGAAAATCAAAGCAGAGGATCCGGATCCCGATTAGAATGGATAAATCTAATGATTGTTGCATAATCATTAAACTCAGTGCCTCTTTGAAACTAATTCCACATAATGTCACTCCCTTTATATTTTGACAAATTTATCTGAAGTTAATCACCTTATGCCACATGTTCAACGATCTACCTCTAGCCAACCACCACCGTTGCCACTGCCTCTTGCTGGCCAACCCCCTCGCTAGTCAGCCGGGCCACCACCTTCAGTGCCCTTTATTCACCCTAAAAATATAAGAAAATTTTGTTCACTTAAAGGGACTTGAACCTTGACCCTCAAAGGAGGAAGCCTCAATTACAAACCTCTACACCAACCTTGTTTTTGTAATTATTATTATTTACACAATATTTATATTAACCATCAAAGGTGTTTTTTTTTTTGGTTTTTGTTTACAATTCATTTCAACATCGATTCGCGCATGATTTGTGCCAAATCCATCATACTATAGAGTTATACATAAACTGCAATCAACTACTACTCGAAAACAATACAATGTAGATATCAATAAAGTAAAACGAAATCAAAAACTTCAATCATTTACAACTATAAGAAAAACACAACAAAAAACAGAAACTGCAAAAAAAAAAAAAAAAAAAAAAAAAAAAACATAACATTTCTATTTCGTTTGGGTTTTATGCTTTTCAACAAAAATGCATGGGGTTCAAACTCACTCAATCACACTATATGTCAGTTACACACTAGAAACTGCATTGCAAGTCATATCTTGTGATACACACTGCACTGCACAAACTATAAATTGCAACTTTCACATAGACACTAAACAATCATCTAACATACACACAACATTGTCGTTTAAAAAAATAAATTGACAATGACTATAAAAGTAGTGACTAACAAATGCACACCAAGTCCACATAAAAAAATGCACACAAAGCCATAAACTTATTATAATATTTGCACAAAATAATAAATAAAAAAAGGTTTAGAGAGTGATTAATATTTCTGTATAACAAATTAATAACTTTTGTCGATCAACAAAATACACATGTATTGGAGAGAGAAAACCAATGAGAGTGGTGACAGAATCGTCAAAGGACAAGAAGGAACTTAATGAGCTCGGCACAACGACATGAATATTTAGCACGACGACGAGCCAATTATGGTGTTGAAGAAGTCCAACACCTTAACATAGTGTCATTCAATGAAGGCAGTAGCAATCAAGTTCCAAATACAATGCGTTTAAGTCATATAAGGCAACTAGCCCGTTCGAATAGGATACAATTGCCCATGGTGGAGTTAGACAAAGTTTCAATAACAATGGTAATCTCTCAATTCAACCTCATTCAATTTTGAAAAGACAAAAATAATACCTTAACTATATGGAGGTTCATTTCTTCCCCATTCCTTCATATAAAAGATATAGGAGAGCAAGCATTCCAGTCTTTTAATTCAGAGAATTATGCTCATCACCCTAGCAATCAAGTTCGAAGTACAATGTGCTTAAGTCATATAAGGCAACTAGCTCATTCAAACATGACACATTTGCCTTATGGTGGAGTTAGACAAATTTGCAATAACAATGGTAAATCCTCTAAATATTTAGCAAGTTTAATATTATTCAATCACAAATTACGGGGTTGTTTGATAACCATTTCATTTTTATTAGATTCATCTGTGGCAGTATGATGTGAAAAGCGCTTTTTTACATGGTGATTTATGTGAAGAAGTATATATGAGTATACCCCCTGGTAATAGTGTTACTGGACGAACATACATTGTGTGCAAATTAAAAAAAGGCCTTATATGGATTGAAGCAGTCTCCTAGAGTATGGTTTGGGAGGTTTCGACAGGCCATAAAGAAATATGACTATGTGCAGATCATACTTTATTTCTCAAGCGACAAAATGGCATAGTTGCCGCACTCATTATATATGTAGATGATATGATTGTGACATGAGATGATGTTGAGGAGATAGAGAAGCTGAAGACTTATTTAGTTTCTGAGTTCAATATGAAGGATCGTGGAGTATTAAAATATTTTTTGGGCATAAAAGTTACTCGTTCAAAGCAAAGTAGATTTCTATCCCAAAGCAAATATATTTTGGATTTATTGAAGGAAACTGGTATTGTAGAATTATTGATACGCCCATAGAGTAGAATTATTGTATGGAGGAACTCCTAGATCAGGTACCAACTAATAAGGAGAGATATCAGAGGTTAGTTGGTAGATTGATTTATTTGTCACACATTAGACCGGATATTGCATATGCAATAAGTGTTGAGAGTCAGATTATGCATAATCCAAGTAAAGTCCATACGAATGCAATGATGAGAATTTTGCGTTATTTGAAATATGCTCATGGGAAAGGTCTTATGTTTTTTTTAGGCATAGACACTTTGAGATTGCAGGATATATAGACTCTGATTGGGGTGGCAAAGGTTTCAATCGAAGATCCACTTTTGGGTATTTTACCTTTGTAGGAGGAAATCTGGTTACATGGTGTAGTAAAAAATAGAAAGTGGTTGCTAAAGGGACTATGCAACTTTATTGTGATAATCAGTCAACCATTAAAATTGCAGAGAATCCGGTACAACATGATAGTACCAAGCATGTGGAGATCGATCGTAATTTTGTGTATGAAAAATTGGAAGATAATATTATACAGATTCCATATGTGAAGATTACAAAGCTGGCAAATATTCTAACAAAAGTCGTATCTAGTCAAGCATTCCATGATTCACTTGTCAAGTTGGGCATTAGAGATGTATATGCACCACATTGAGGCAACAGTGTTGACATAAATCATGTAATTATTTTTATAGAAAATTTGGCATAAGTCCAATTATGAGGAGAGACTTCGGGTGCAATCAATGCAGAAATTGTTGTTGATCCAAGTCTTTTGACTTTTGCGCCACATAAGATTACATGCCTATTTCAATTTATTTCAATTTACTTTTATTTTTATTTTTATTTTTTATTCCAGTTATGCACCTAAAACATAAATAAGGTAAATTATGAATTCCTAAAACTGGTAAGTTATTGATTTGTAGGATATTAATTATCATATTTGATTTAAATTTAATTGCAAATCTATTTATTGAATTCTGAAATTTTCCCAAGGTATACCGACATCAAAATTTGTAATAAGAGTTCATAAAAAC